AATTAGTACCTTGATCAGGAATTTCTCCGAATTTGAAGAGTTGTGAGTATATCTTTTTCAGATTCCCAAGTAGCTTCCTCAACAAAATGGTTCCTCCAAAGAACATTGACTGAGGCTACTTCCTCCCAATTAGTATTTCTGAGCACTCTGCGTCATTTTCAACTTTGCTTGAATCACTTTCACCTTCTCAATAGCTTAATGATCTAAATATGATCCTATAAACCTAGCTTCACCTACTTCAAATCATTCAATAGGTAATATACACCTTCTCCCATAAAGAGCTTCACATAGAGCCATTTGGATGCTAGAGTGGTAACTATTATTATAAGCGAATTCAATGAGAGTTAGGTGATCATCTCATTAACTTTGAAATCAATCACGCAATACCTCAACGTAGCCTCGAAGGTATGAATAGTGCGATTTGCTTTTCCATCTGTCAGAAAATGGAAGGTATTACTTAAGTTCACCTTTAATCCTAAGACTTTTTGGAATAACTTCCAAAACTGTGCACTAAATTGGACACCTCTATTTGAAATAATGAAGACGGGAACCCCATGAAGTCCTACCACCTTTTGAAGATACAATTTGACATAGTCCTCTGCTGAATGGGTGGTCTTTACGTGCAAAAAGTGGGCTGATTTTTTCATTCTATCAACAACCACTCAAATAGAATCATGTTTTCTGTGAGACCTTGGCAAACATGCGATGAAATCCACATTAATGATCTCTCATTTCCATTAGTAAGTTGATAATATGGAATAAAAAATCTGACTGAAATCTAGGGATGTAATGGGCAAAAGAACCCATTAGTGAAATCCCACATACTTGGTGACGGATTCTATGGAGAAATTTTTTGATTTTGGGGCTGAAACTAATTGAACCTTGATACTCCTTAAAATAGGTTTGCTCGACCTTTATCTCCTCTTATGTTTTAATTTTCTGAGTTTATGATGAATAATTTGACTTAGGTTAGTTCTAATTATGTTACGAGGATAAAACTAACAAAAAATACATCGTTTAGTTTAAAACGACGTAGTTTGGGGGTTCAATGAAAAATAAAAAGTCCAAAATGCCCTGACTTAAAGTTGAAGACGAGTTGACCACTACCATCTTCATGAACTGTGAAAGGGAATATGAACCGTGAAGTCGGTTTGGTATGCACTTAGTCCAGACTGGGGCCGATGTTTCATTAGCCCTTACCACGACCCTGTGGAAGACCAAAGACTGTGAAGGTCTATGTTGTCCTCTCTTGGGCTGAGGTACGGATCCTACTGGTTATTCCTGACGAATGCTCCCACAAGCCGTCATGAAGACCACGCATCGTCAAGGACCTTATAGTTTTCACTTGGATGGGGCGTCTGAGGGGTTGTCCAAAGAGAGCTACTCCCTGACTTCCACGAGACGTCCCACGGTCCGTGTGAAGGTCCAAGAACCATCAAAAGGTATGTGGTCTTTACTTAGACATGTGGGTCTATGTATAGGTTAGGTAGGTCCACTATTTCAATCATAATGAACTCCACCAAAGAAGTCATTGAGACGAAAGACCGTGAAGGGTCAAATGGTGTGATGCCTGGATTGGTAGAGTTCAAGCTTGAACCACAGGCAGGTCTATAGACAGTGGACTCTGTCATGTTCTGTGAACCCTACCGTGGTTCATTTCTTCTACTGAAATCTAAAATTTATATTTGGGTCTGAGTTCCGAGGTGTTACATGATGAAACCTACAACCCACCATTATGTAAGCTTAACCTAGAGCTAAAAACTAAGAGTAAGGTCTATCACATGGAAGAAAACATAAGGGAGCGAGGAATTATATAAAAATAAAATTTGGAAAAATAAACATAAATATACCTCAAAATTAACCCCAAGACTTGACATGAATTGGTAGTTAATTTTCTAAAAAAATATGAGTACAAGACTTTACAAATACAATTATATAAAGAACTGTCTCTGAATACAAAATAAAGATTTGTACTAGCTAAACAGAGGGAGATCGCCAACTCTGAACGTTTGAAGCTCACCCTAGTCTGCGAATCCCAAAATGATGCTTTGCACCAGGCCTAAATCAACAGTGAAAACTCATACTATGATATACAACAAATAAAAGTGTAGTATGAGTAGCAACAAGAGGTACTCAATAGGCATAGGTGATTAAGCTCCCAATATAAAGAAAATATAAATGATTGGTAAATAGGGTAAGTATAACACAAGCAACTAAATAAGAGATATTGCATAGTTCAAGATGAACAACTACAAAGGACAATAATAATACAACAAACAAGAGATTGCGAAAAGAGCGCACACCTTAAGGCACTATGTCCTCCAATTCGATTTATCTTCAATTTTTTTAAAATTTTTTTTCTCTTTTTTAAACTAATCTTTATATGTAAAAATAAGCATAGTTACTCTTGAAATCTTTTAATTACAACTCATAAATAGACCTTCTCCCCCCCCTATAGTTTATTGCCTAGTTGTTGTGTTGTTGGAGGTTTTTCTTTAAATCTGATATAAATAAATAAATATCGATATAAAATATATAAGATATATTAATTGAGTATTTATAGTTGGAGTATTATAGTGAATTAAAATGCAAGTTATGGACTTTTTAAGTTTCATTGAACTTAAAAATTAGTTAACGTTAGTTTTTTAAGAAAATAAGAACAGAAAAACTTAAAAAATTCACAATTTAGAGATGTGAGGAATTCCGTCCATTCACATTCTACAAAGGATTGTATCAACATGTGAATACTGTGTGTTATTATAAAAATCATAACCCTTTAGAAAATTCACAATCCTTCGAAAATGTCACAACTCATCAAAAAAAATTGCAAATCCTTGGGAGAGTCACAAACATTCAACGCTAAAGAGTGTCTTCTTCTTCTTATATCATATAATATAGGGAAAAATGTCAGAAATATATCCGAACTTTGACTGAAACTACTGTAACAATCCCAAACTTTGGGCAGGACATATTACACTTTGTAATGATGCAATATTTATGATGTCCATGTGGACACATATATATTTTTAGTACACACAATTAAATAGCGCAGGGGGTAATAGATCCTGTGTATTGAGATTGTTACAACAATTTCTGTCAAAGTTCAAATATATTTTGAAACTTTTTCTCTATAAATAATATAAATTAATTTCATATAGCATAGAAAAGATATACTAAACTGAGTATTTTAATAGGAAGAACAAAAAAAACTTTTAAAATATAGTTTAAAGGAAAACCTGTAACATCTGATAATTTGTAATATACAAGAATAATTTAAGAAACTGAAAATAATAACTTTTGGAAAGAACAGGAAAATTCTAAAAAATTTCCTAAGTTATGAAAGTGAGTTTTGGTCATTTTCAAATGGACATAATTTCTAGCTCAGGATGAGTTAGAGACAGTTCTTTATATGGTTGGAAAGCCCTTGGAGATCTCTTTCATGCTGCCGAGTTTGCGCATTTTCAATATCGCATGAGGGAGATATGTCTATCAGATGTTGGGCTGTTGGGTTGAGGAAGGTCCTAATCCGGATTTTAGTAAGGTTAAACTTGTCATTTTACCTAACTATTTCCTATTTTTTTAGGGTTTATTAGGAGTAAAAATAAGCCTTAAGTCAGTTTTTGAAAACCAATTCACACTTAGGGCTTGGGAGAAAAGAGAAGATAAGGAGAAAAGGAGAGAAAGATCAAGAATCAATCACGAACGCTAAGGTTTCACAAGTGGAATTCGTCGAGGGCGATCCCTATTAAGGTATGTGAGATCTTTCTGTGTTGGTTTAGTTCACCCACACATCAATATTCTTAATTCAGTGAAGTTTGAATACATTTCATGATGTTTACTGAATTAAGTGCTTACATATACTTTGATGAATGCATATGCTTGCAGTTATAAGAAGACAATTAATGCAGAAATCTATCTGAATATATATACTAATTGTTTGTTTGTCTTTTTAAAGCAAACAAATATAATGTTAGCCTACCATCTTCCATAGACAGACTATGATGGCCAGAATACAATCCAAAGAAATTGTAGCCAATATTATCGTAACGAATGGGGTGTCGGGATCTTCTGAACAATAAAAACATTAGAGATGCGGCCGTGATTCAACTTGAGAGGAAAGTTTCACCAACAACTATCTTGTTATCTTTTCAAAATTATGTCCATCCTCTTTTTATGATGCCCTACGCTTAGTGTACTCTATTTCCACTCCCGATCTTATTTTTTATTCATTAACAAACCTCATATTCTTCATGTTGGCTATGTTTGTACTTTTGGCGAATCTTATTGGGATGATCTACTAAACATATTTATCAAACAAACACGATCATCAGATTTTTAGGAAAGTATTTTGAATGTAAAGGAATGAAAAATCAATCAAATGTTAATACAAAATGTACAAATTATTAAACTTTACCATATAAGTAGTGTGTGTCTTTTTTATTAAAATTTAAATAGATGGAGTGTTATCAGCTAAGTTCATCACGCTATATTGACTGTTTTTCTTTGGACCAACTTCTTTACTTCTATGATTAGCTTCTCCGACCTCCTAATCTGCAACATTCTTTATATAAGTATAACAACTACAATGATACGATTCCTACAGAAATGCTACGGTTTATTAAAGAACACAAGTTTTAAAAGTCTTCTGGCCACAAATATTAATGTTATGACATGTTTATAATCACTGGTTTCATTTCACTTTAAAACTATATGTGTGTATTGAAATTTTTATGACATAAATTGAAATATGGGAGTTGCTACTTATTTTTAGGAAAGATTAAGGATCTTATGATGATATACAAGTCAATCTACACTTAAAACAATATCTTAATTATTTTAAAAAGCATAACAAACTTTAGGTCTTACTGGTACCAATTTGGGGTATTTGCTCGTGCTCATCGCAACCTTAACTTACTTCTTGAAATATATATCCAAATGCAGTGTATTACTATTAAATGCATTCACTTAATGGCTAATAACCCATTAAGGATATTACTTACTTTGAGACTCATCTTTCTTAAGTTTGTTAGCATTAGTTTCAAGGCTAGCAAGATATCTTCCTCAATTACATTAGCATTAATATGAAAGTTAACTGGAATGTCTTCCTTTTCTTCCTCAATTACATTAGCATTAGTCTGAAGATTTACTCGAATATCATCCTCTTCTTCCCCTTCTTGTCTTTTTATTTTTCTCTTCTCAACAAAGGGGTCATGGCTCAGATTTTCACCAGAATGATCAAAAATATCCATAGAATCATATGATTCAATATCTTCTATTGGACATTAAATTTTTTTCATACTCATACCGAATATAAAGACATCAAAATGATCACGAGCATTGTATGTAAAGATCAAAATTGACTGAAGCTTCTTGTGTAGTAGTCAGTAAATTTGTTCCTCCCTCTCATCAGCCAAAGTTTTCCTTGAGAATGATCCACTTCGACCTCCCATGCTTTTCCACGGAGAGCCCGAAGAAACATATGATTGATATGTCCTTGCAACGTCTCTCTACAAATACCAGTGGAATCCTTTGTATGCAAAATATATTTTTATTCAATATCATATGATGAAGAGAGAAGTAGACCTACATAATTAGTTTCATACATCGTGGAACAGACCTACAAAATTGATAGTACACTCTTGTGCATACTTTAACCTATGTTAATTGTCCCACATTAACTAAGAGATTGAGTAGTAGGTCTTGTTGATTTATTACCTCGTTAGCTAGCTTCTTTTATCCAATAAGGCTAATTATTAAAATTTTGCATGATATCAAAGTAAGACACACACAGACGCACGTATGCACGCGCATGCGCACGTGCGTGTATAGTTGCACTAAAATATATTTGGGAATCCGCAAGTGAATCAAAGATTGAAATACCAAATTAAAGACGGAAGATGTATGAAGTACTTATGAGACAACTTAATTCATCCAAGGAAAAAATGATTTGGCGGATCTTTGGATGAGACATTGGTTGAAATCAACTCTAAAACTTAAAACCCTTAAACTCAAATTCAAGAGAAACTTTCTATTCCTTTAAAATAAAAAAAAACAAGAAACTGATGTCGAGGTTATGAAATAACAAAAATGGCTCAAAAAATCTTTGTGAGATCGTTCACATCGAACTCTCAGGGTTCAAAAATTGAAAAATGCAAATCAACTCTAATTTTGGGAAAAATTAATTAGTCGAAGCATTTCTCTTCCTGATCACAAAGATGAAGTTAAAGTGTCCAACATATAATTGGGTGAACTATAAATTTTGATCCTCAAGATTGTGAAAAGAGCCACGTGATCGCAATACACATGGTCTTACACTTGGTCCAATGTGATTCCCACCATGTGACTACGAAGCACTTGAAGCAATGCTATGCGACCCCAATTTTAATTTTGTTTGAAGGTATTATGTATGTTTTTAGTATTTAGTATAATATTGACACGCCCCGAGCTATCCACGAGATGAGGACACGGAACCTAGGTTCACAAGTGATCCCAAGCTAACCCTGTTGGCATGATCATGAGCATACTAAAGATAATAAACTGATGCGAAAGATAATTAAAAATTAAATCTTACAAGATAGGGATACCCATATTTTATAACTGAGATATTTGAAAATAATGAGTTTGATACAAAGGAAATATTAACTCAATACTAAGTTGAATCAAACTATGTCTGAAATAAGCCTCTTAACTGGAATACAAATACAGGGACAAGCCCTAGATAAATCTAGCAAAAACTGAAACTAAGTGACTAAAGATTGAAATTAAACTCATAACTGTTGGCCTCGAAGAATAAGGACTCACCACTGAATGTGCTGAATTGGAGATCGGAAATCAATATACACGTGATCTGGATGCAGAGAACCTGAACCTACATCATGAAAAGATGTAGCGCACGTATGCGTCAGTACTTGAAAGATAATGAGCATGTAGGATAGAGTAAAGCTGAAATAAAACATAACTGAACAAGCATAAAAGCAAGTATTATAATCTTACATGATAAATTGAATTCAGAGATAACTGGATGCAACGACCAATTTATAACATACTAAAATTGAATACTGAATATAATGATAAATGGTTAATGCAGAGTGTCTGACTGATCTGTGGGAGCTACTAATAACCCATAATAAAACCACATGAGCTTAATGTGGAGTCCGATGTATACGCCCCATCGAGAGGACCCAATATACCCTGCAAAAGATATAAAGGCATACTGGCGTGGTCACTAAATTGAGTGCCCACACAGGGGACTTAAAACCTACTTGGCTAGTAGTCCTGGGAGTATTAGGTACGCTAAACCCTAGTCTAACTCGGTATTATGCTTCTCCCATGGATTCTTTAAATTTAGTGATTATGTCTGAGTTTCTATAAATATTGGATAGCTCAAAACTAAACATGCAAATTGAGAATGCCACAATCAGTCTGGTAATTATGCATTCATGACTGAGGCATGTATATATGAAGTATCTAAAATATCTGACCTAGCATGTATAATTCAAGAACAAAAGAAATACAAATCTAGGCTTCTAAAATTCATGCAATAAAATGAATAATAACATGATAATCTGATTTAGAACATAAAACTAATAAATTCATAAAGTTCTAGAAACCCTTGATCTAATCATGATAAGGGAATCAAGAATCTGACTGAAAACTAGGGACCCAATGGGTGAAAGGAACCCACTAGTGAAATCCCACATACCTGGTGATGAAATCCACAAAAAAATACTTAGGTTTTGGGGCTGGAACTGCTGGAACTTGTGGCGTTCTTTAACTAGGGTTCTTGAGCTTTTTATCCTCTCTTGTTTGTAATTTTGTAAGTTTTGATTTAATGATTTGACTTAGATATGTTTCAATTATGTTTCTAGGCTTTAAGCTTACCAAAATCTAATTATTTTGGGCCGGAACAACGTATCTTAAGGTTTAAACAAAATGGGAAAGGTCAAGAAAGACCTATAGGAAAGTTGTTGTTTGACTAAACGACGACCAGGACTGACGGTCCGTCGTCTGACCGACGCCCCGTCGCTGGGTCCGTTGATTGGGCCTGTTCTCTAGGCCTTTACTGAAATGGGAATAACTTTTTACTCGAAGGTCTGATTTTATCAAAGTCGGTGGATATGAAAAGCTAATTCAATTATCTATCTGTTAATAGGTCATGATACACCTAATTAATTTTGTGTTAAGAGTTATGACCATTTGATGTTGACCCAAATACATTTCCCCTTAACTATCTGCAAATTTTCCACCTACGGTCTGTAGGTCTAATTATGGACCGTGCTGGTCATCTGTAGCTCTTGTTAGAGAGTGGGTAAACGCGGGTCTCGATCGATTGTCCTGGACTACGAAACTTCATCTGACCTACGGACCAGAAGTCCGTTCGTTGATCAAGACTTAGCCAATTTTTCCCCTGCTGAGTTTTTGGGAGTCTTTGATTCCATCGACGGTTGTACAGGACGGACTGTGGGTCAGGATACGGTCCGTCGATGCCACCGTTGGTTGCAGCTACAGATTTTTTTCTGTAAAACTGGTTTTTGGTCTGTTTTGGCTACGGGGTGTTACATTAAATCCCCCTTGGGAACATTCATCCTCGAATGAAGACTAAACTAGCTGAAATAGCGGGAGAGAGCTACAAACCCTACTACTAAACATTGAGAATTGAGTTTCTAACTGAATTGAGTTCTGATAACATTCAAATACGCTTAAAATGTAAGTACAAATTGAAGTAACATGATTCTAAGACCGTATTCACGCATGAATGACTGGAAAACTAAAGAGGAACTATTACCTCAAGTTAGAGTGGAATCGTAAGGAAAGAGGTGATGATACTTGTCTTTCAAGGCTGCTTCTGCTTCCCTAGTAGCTCCCTCTAAAGACTGACTCCTCCACAAAACCTTGACTGAAGCGACTTCTTCGTTTCTTTAACTTATTACCTGATGGTCAAGAATCTCAACTGGTACTTCCTTATAAGAAAAACTATCTTTCACCACCAAACTCTCCAATGGCACTATAGAGGCTGAATCACTCACGCACTTCTTCAAGAAAGAGATGTGGAAGACCGGATGCACTGCTGGTAATTCTGCTGGCAACTCTAACTCATATGCCACCTTGCCAACCCTTTTCAAGATCTTGTAAGGACCTACATATCTAGGACTGATCTTCCCTTTTTTTCCAAATCTCATCACCCCTTTCATAGGTGAGACTTTCAAAAAAACCCAATCATCAACTTGAAACTCTAGTTCCCGTCTCCTTACATATGCATAAGATTTCTGACGACTTTAGGTTGTATTATGTCTACATCTAATGAGTTGCACTTTCTCCATAGCATAAAGGACTTAGTCTGGACCTATCAAAGTTTCTTCACCTAGTTCAAATCAACCAACTGGAAATCTACATGTATGCCCATATGAAGCAACACAAGGGGCCATATGAATGCTAGAATGGTAGCTATTGTTGTAGGCAAACTCAATAAGAGGAAGGTGATTATCCAAACTACATTTGAAATCGATCACACAAGCTCTCAACGTATCCTCTAAAGTCAGAATGGTACGCTTCGCCAGCCCATATGTCTATGGATGAAATGTTGTACCAAGGTTAACTTGATTACCATGACATTTCTGAAATGACTTCCAGAAATGAGAGGTAAACTGAGGAGCTCTATCTCAGATGATAGACAAAGAAACCCCATGCAACCTCACAATTTCATTAATGTAAATTTTGGCATAGTCCTGTGTCGAATCTATAGTCTTGACCACCATAAAGCGAGAAGACTCAGTCATCCTATCAACTATCACCCAAATTGAGTCTTGCTCTCTGTGAATACGAGGTACTCCTGTGATAAAGTCCATATTGATCACATCCCACTTCAAAGTAGGAATATCTATCTCTTGAGTCATACCTCATGGTTTCTGATGTTCAACCTTAACTTGATGGCAATTGGGAACTTACTCACAAAATCTGCTATATCCCTCTTCATGCCATTCCACCGATAGACTTCTCGCAGATCGCTATACATCTTAGTGGCACCTGGATGAACAGAATACCTAGAGTTATAAGCTTCTTCAAGAATATGTTGTATCAACTCGCCCACATCAGGAACACACAATCTACTCTGGTAGCGAAGTACACCATCTCCCCTGTGGGAGAAAACCTCCACTCTCTCATTATGGGCTGCACCCTTAAGTTCTAGTATGATTGGGTCACTGTCTTGATTTTTCTTAACATCCACTACCAAAGACGCTTCTGCCCCATT